TGCAACTGATCCAAAATAAGTCGGAAAAAATTGATTTCAATAAATACACTGACATCGTGAATAAAGTATTATTTTCAATAGCACGAAAAGTACCTCCATTACACTCTTTTTCATCCATCGTGTCAGAGTTATGAATTATGATCCAAGTTTGTGAAAGTGAAAATGCCTTAATACAGAGTTGTGTTAAAAATATTGAAAAGAGAAAGATCTTCCAGCTCTCATTGCATTCATAAAATGTATAAATTCCAAGCAGCAGCGGTTCGTTGAAATAAAACAATAAGCAACACGCACAAAAAACACACAAGAAATAGCGTGTGACATGTGTCATTAAAATGTAAGTCGTTTACTGTCTGATGTGTATAACTAGAAAAGCCCATGTATGAACAGTAATAAAATAATAGAGGGTCTACCTCGGAACCTTGGGACACTTGAGATGGGGTTTCATCGAGCGATGTGACTGTTGAAGAATTATAATAAAAGTTTCCCGTTGATTTATGAGTGGAAGAGGTCATTGCAAACCGCCGCCGCTTTACTATTTCCGAGAAGGACGCATATAAAAGGATTAGATAAAAGATTTGTTTTACTTTTATAATTCATTATACAAAACAGCTCGTTCTGCCAGGAACACAATACGATGTAATTACGTTATATTCCCATTCATGGTTTTAATTTACATACATTATATGCCCTCGAAGCTGCACGGTGTTATTGTGAGCGCCGAAATGTATACGAAATTTTCCCATTAAGTGTATAAGCAAATCAGAAGATTTGTGTTCTTTACGATTTCGTAATTGTGATTATCTTCCAATTCAATGGAGCTGATTTTGAACAGCTTTAACTTATATTCCTTGAGAAGTACAATGCATTGTTCTGCCCACCGTTCGCCCATTATTTATGAACGTAGGTACATTCTGTCTTAGATGACATATGTAGACTGTTATTGCAGTTTGGTTAAGGCGTACTAGGTACAACTGTGATGTATTATTACTTAATGCTATTCTACATGGCAAAGTCGTTATGGACGTAATTGATAGAAATTCTACGCGCTCAAGCCTATCATTTTTCATGTTCGTTTAGCTCGGTAGAATTGAGCAATTACATTTAATGAACCGTTAACCGATAATTTGATGTCACTTATTAACATTTAGTTTAGGTTAGTAAGTATAAAATAATTATCTTATTGGGTATGGAGGTGTGAACTAGTTTGAAAGCCGCATTACGTTTACTTTTATTGTATAAATGTATACATTTATATGTTAACTTACTTCTATAAATTTCTAGCGCTAACGTATTTAGTTGCTGTTAATTGCCATAATAAATGTTATTAAATTACTATCTTGTATGGTTCTCACAGAGTGCATCGTTAAAGATTTCTCTCCAAATTTCTATTTCTATAACAACGCGATATGTGGCTACTGACTTTGAACTAGTCATATATTAACCAGAACCACCCACTCAAAATATACTCATAAACCCTTCTATTAAAGACATCTTTAACCACAACAAACACTTTGCAATACGTTTTTTTGTTAATCCGAGAGGGGGTGGCATGGCAGTGGAATCGCGAAGAGGGGGGGTACCGTGTTTGAATCGGTAATCTAAAGGATCGATTCCGTAAAAAATCAGCCTTTGCTTGATTTTTTAATTATTGATTTATGGGAACAATTAGTCTCCCGACAACACAATAAATTAATATTCATGCAGATGAAATTGCATTTTCCTTTTATCTCGTTCCGTTTCCCAAAATGTTATTATTTCACAAAAAATGTCCTTAAATTCCACAATTTTTTTTATCCAGAATTTCCTTTATTTTCCCAATTTCGTTTTCACTGTCCTAAATTGCAACAATTACTATATTTATTATTTTTTGAATTTTTATTTTATTTCCTAAGAATTTCCTTTTATTTCTTCAGAATTTCCTCTTGGTCCCATTATATCGCTTCCAGAATCCAAATCTTCATTGATGTTTCCCCAAAATTCTTTCGTATTTCCGCAGTATTTTCTTAACATTTCCGTTTATACTGACAAGGAAAAATGATAAGAATTCACTTTTAAATTTTCCAAAGATTCTTGTATTGACTTAAGTGTCTCCAATTTTTTAAAATGTGGCTATTTATTTCTAAAAGTTTCCGTTTCATTTTCCTAGAATTTCCTGCCATTTCGTCGAAATTTCCTAGTCACCCTATAGAACCCAACAGTTTTCTTTATTCCCCTATTTATTTGCGAACAAACTGCTATAAAGTTTCCTTATGTTTGCCAAGAATTCTTTGATCATCATTTCCTCTTATTCTCTCCGTCTTTGCTTCTATGGAAGATATCATACTTAATTTTTATTTTCTTAAAATTACTAATCTTTTTTCCAGAATTTTTATGTATTTCCCTAGTGTTTCCATCATATTCTCCCAAAAAGTCCTCAAATGTCTCGTAGTTTTTTCTAATTCACCTGAATTTCCGTACGCGATACGAAATAAAAAATTCTTTTCCCTTCCCAGAAATTCCGCAAATTGATTTTCAAAGTTTTCTCCTATTTCCTAATTAATTTTAGTCACCTCATAAGAATTTGCCAACTCGTAAGTTTAAAAAACAATTGTTTGACTTTTTATTCCATTCTTTCATTTGATTATTTTGTTGCTGTTGATTATTTCTGTTTGCTGAATCTATGCCATGGGGTTTTAATTTTATTGAAATAAAGATTATTATTATTATCTCCCAGAAATTGATTTACCCATAATATCTTTCGTTTTTCCATTTTCCCAGTTTCGTTTGCATTGACATTGACAAATTACCACAATTTCTATACAAAGGAAGTAATAACAGTCTTCAATTAACACGTACCTTATTATTTTCCCAATTTTCTCTTCCTTTCCACAGAACTTGCTCGCATTTCTTCAGAATTGTCCTACTTAATTTCCTCTTGTTCTTCTATAACCTCTTACATCACTTTAAAGTTCGTCTGTTGTTAACAAAATAAGTACTGGTACCGGCAAGTAAGAAGACTATTATCGTATACTAGTAATTGCACCTACTTGTGCGCCACGGAGGCGTAATAGCATAGTCCGCTCTCGCCTTCTTATGTGCCGGTACCAGTACCAGTATTTAAGGATTTTCCAAATTCATGTTTCCTTCGAATTTCTCTAGTCCCCCCTTATGCCTTCAAAGGTTCCGCTTATCGTGGCAAGGTAATTTCCTAAAAATTGACCTTTAATTTTTCCAAATCTTCTTTTCTGTATTGACCTTAAATGTCTCCAATTTTATGCGAATTGAAACATTTCTTGCCTTATCTTAATTTCTACATGAACTAACGTTTCCTTCCCATTTTCTCTTCCCCATAATTCCCTCTTCTTATCTTCTCAAAATGTCCACTAACATTTTCTTCTACTTAGAATTTCCTCGAGCTCAGAAATTTTCCATAGTTTCGTTCAAATTGCTTATATTCACCGAGAGTTTTTTTCGTTCCCCCCCCCCCCCCCCTCTCTCTCCTACATTTTCTTACACCCTCATAAATTTTTTCCAAATGTTTTTTTCTTGTTTTTTCTTAAATTTGATTAGTTTTTATACGAAAGTACTATTTGATTCAAAACTGCCTCCTTCCTTGTTTGGGCACAATTTTCGCCCCGTTTCCCTCAGATTTTTTCCACATTTCCCATGTATTTATTTAAAATTTCCATAGGTTTTTTAAGCTCTCTCTCAAAATTTCCCAAATTTTTCCGTGTCTTTTTGAGCAATCTTTGAATACAGCTGAGGTATCACCGAAAAACTGTAAATGTCAAATTTCGTTTTCATTTTGCCTATCTTAAACGGTCGGAAGTGGACAGTTCTCGTTAGCACTTTCTGTGGACACTTTCTTTCAAGGAATCTGGATCTGTTACAGAATTTCCATAGCGCGCTAGATGTAGAAGATACAGGCTACTGCTTTTTTATGTGGGCGCCACATTGGATTTTTACGGAATGAGAATGGGGCACCAACCAGAAATGCATCACCATCATAGCCATGCCGATTCAGCAAGATCTAGTTATCCTGATTTTGAAATGTTGTCCTCTATTTCATTTCGTAAAAATTCAATATGGCGCCCAAAAAAATAAGAAAGTAGTAGCTTGTAGCTTCCACATCTAGCGTGCCTTGGGAATTATGATTACAGATTCAGATTCTTAAAAAAAAGCCCACCAAAGGTGCGAAAGGGAACTGTCCATTTCCGACCGTTTAAGTAAGAAAAAATGAAAACGAAATTTGACATTTCCAGTTTTTTGATATTTCAGCTATTTTCAAAGACTTTTCAAAAATTTCAAATGCTTTTTTTGGTCGCAAAAAGGAGAAACTTGGTCCCCATTTAACTTACACTGTATCTCTCACCGTTGCGGAAATTCCAATGGCGACTCACGAATTTGAACCACTCTGTACGATGCATTTCCTCAAAGTATGCTCTCTCTTTGCAAAAATTTCTTTCTTATTTCTCCAGAATTCCTTTGTCCACAAGATGTAGTTTTAAATAATTTTCTTTGGGACCTCTAAATAGTTTTTTTAATAAATTAATTATGATTTTACATGTGCTTAAGACACGTTTTTGAGAAGAATCGAATGGCTTTAAAATATACTCAAAACAATCATCAATGTTTCATTTTCAGTTGTATCTTTTCACTTTAAAGTGTAGTTAATTATGCTCTTACATGTAAGAGCCTTTTTTTCTTTTCAAAAATGTATAATAAGTGGGCTCAATTCCTCTTTTTTATCTTATATTTGATAGATAGGCAACTATTCCCCTATTCAATCATCGTAATTGGCGTTTTGTAAATGGTGTTTTAAAAACCTGTTTGGTTGACAATATCACTCTCACATTTTTATTTTATTATACATATTAAAGGAAAACCTAACGAAAAATAGAATATTTAACAAAATAATATGAAACCGACTTAAAGTACGTATTGATCTGGTACCTTTCCAATTTTCTTGAAAATGGTTACTATACATGGTTATGAGGTGGAGCACCATCTTGTTGAAACATTATATTATTTCTCTCTACTAAGGGAAGATCATCCAGAAAGTCTTCAACTCGGTCTTCAACGACGACCCGGTTTATGATATGGTATCTTTGTGAGTTGAGTTTCCCTTGTAGAATAGGCGGGCTAAAGCGAAAGAAATTACTTTTTGAAATATCAGTTGTCATCGTAAAAAAAATGCAAGAAGGGTAGACAAGGCATTTGTTTTTTTTCTCAAAATTTAAAAATAGTTTTAGTGGCGCCTCGGGGCAAAGTCATATTTTTGATTTGTCAGTAATAAGTGATTGACCTTACTTTTGAAAATTGGTCACTATATTTCAATTTCCAACCACACCCCCGGAACAAAGGGTATAATTTTTTTCAAAAATAGAAAATGCACTGTAGAGAAAAAACTGCTTTTAATTTCGATTCGATACATTTTTTGCTCAGATTAACACTTTTCGAGATAATCGCCTGCAAAAAATGGCGCTGGGCTCATTTTTCTCTTCGCGTTGAAAACTATGCTTATTTTCCAAGGTCATTTACGAGCGTTGGTTGGGAGATACGCAAAAAACACTAAGAGACATTTTTCATAGAGAATTTAATGAAGAATATAAAAAGTCCTATAACTTTTTTTCGTAAAAGTTTCGCGAGGTCACGATTGGGGGTGGTTTTTTGGACAAAAGAGGATGAAGCTCTCACCGGAGAGGTGGGAACTCTTCGAATCGGTATTTGGGTCCCTACTGAGAGTTCATAACCAAAATAAGGGGTGAATTTCTGTTTGTCCACTATAGTCCTAGTCCTACTCCTAGATATTCCGTATTCAGCTTCGATTTGGCAACTTGATACATTGGAATTTACTTCTATGTCTCCATTGACCGCAAGTCCCCAACAGTTACCTAATCATAGCACATTTGTCCAATTCAGCGTTCTCATGAAAACCGGGATTTAGTTCAAAATTGCTTGCATTTAAATCTTTCTAGATTTCAATCCGACATTTTTACTTAAGACCACAATTTCGTGAAGAAAGCTGTCGAACGCATTGGAAACGAGGTCAATTTTGTTTGGCGATAACCCTTTACCCTTGTTTCAAAAGGCAATCGCCAAAGTGGCTTGTATTTTTTAAGAAAATCTTAGGTGAATGTGGTCCTTTATATAACGTTACTGAATCAAGCTGCACCTTTGCTAGGGACGGTTGTCGGAGCAAGTCTGCGTCTGTGTCTAAAAGCAATTAATGGTTGTCCGTAATGTTTAATTAATAAACGTAGTAATTTGTTTAAGCAAATATGACGTACAAACGTAATCTTATAATGCATGCGCAACGCATATACTTACGTATTTCAAAAATTAAAATTACAATCTTTTCACATCTCGGACAAATTGTTATTTAAGTCGAATCATAATTACAAAATTCCTTTTTACATAAATTCCTTTTCAAATGCATCTCTTTAACCGTCGTCGTCGTCGCCGTAATCATTACTTTAATAAATTATTAAACTTACGATGGGAACTCCCATTTAAGTTGTATAAGACGACATTTACAAAGTATTGTCCACGTTTATTATAATGCATACGTACTTAGCGATGGGTGTGTGTCATTAATTAAATTATGCGCGTATTCTTTCGCGTTTTTAAGGTAAAAAGAGTGCCCCGGCGCAATTAAAATTCCGTCGGGGAGACCTGTAATTTTGAGTTTCCTATTTTTACGCTCCACAAAAGTGATAATATCGCCGGCAGTGGATCATTCTTAGTTAGTTCACGTTCAAACAATGTGAGAATTTATGTCCACCATTAAGTGAAGAAATACGGAAAAAGCGATTTAGATACAAACTGGGAAAGGCTCCGTTCCGAACGGGTCAACGCTTTATATCTCCCTGAAAATGAATCTACGGTAAAATTGCATTATTGCCCAAAGGTTTACATTGTACAGATTTACAACGGCGCGCTGTAATTAAATTAAGAGATCTATTTTATTATTATTGCCCTGCCATAGACATAAAAAAGTAGCTGGTTTTGCCAACAGTGGTTAAATATTATATAATTGCAGTTTTTACTGACATGAAGCGATTTTACCTAACGGTGCTCTGTCTTAGAAAAAATATCAAAATGCCAATGTGATATAAATTAAAAGATTAATTCCGTTTAAGCTTCAAGAACTATATTTTTGACAGCTCCGTTACTGTTCCTTCTTATTTGAAGATAGTTGAGGTTAATGTAAGTTGCCTCATTACTTAAGCGCATAAATACGCGTGTATAATTTTATTTTGCATATTAATTAGTATAATTGAAAATTAATTTTCCCGACGTGCCGTAAAACTTGTATTACGTACATAAAAACGGCGCCCCCTGCATTTTGAATTAATTTAATTGTCGCGCCTTCTTTCAATAATGGAGCTATTATAACAGTTATTCAAAAAATCGTATCTAGGCATCGCACTTATCTCGATCATCGCCCTGTCCGAAATTATATGCTAATTAACTCAATTTTGATTACCTTAAATATAATCAACCTTGCATTAAGGAACGGCTTTCCGTCCTTGATCACAAGTGCTTAATGGGATTATTGTTTTTAAACGGCTACAAAATGGAATGTTGCAAAAAGAGGCTGATCGTACTGATTCTTATATTTTGCAATCATTTTTGGATCAGTTAACAATTAATCTAGAGACCTACCTGAAACACGTGAAAGTTCAAAGCATTGCAATACGTTTCGACAGTAAGGCACCATCAGTAAACCAAAAAAATACTCATTCGGATTTAGTTCCTCACCTTCTATATTTCGATACTTCCAAGTACCTACTCCAGAAAGTGCTCGAAAATTGCAATAGTGCTTGGAGCCATTAGTGCGCGTAATTTTTTTAAATTTTCTTACCCACAGTAAAAATTCGTGACCGATGTCGAAATGGAAAGGGTTTGAGTTTACAATCAATTGTCACGAAAAGCAATTCGTTCATTACGACCTTAATAAATAAATAATTTCGAGTTTGTTATTAACGTGTTGACTAAATCATTTCGTTCGTGGCGGCAATAAAAATAAAACGCCGCAATTACAAATTAAAACCAGAAGAATTGCAATTATAAATTCACGACGGAGCTGTCAATTTATTATAAAATGTGATTTCATAAACCAACCTAAATTGCAACAAATGAAGTGCAATTTAAAATTATTGTTTGACTGAAATTTATGCGCGCGGGGTTTTATTGCGCACGTTGTAATTACAATAATTAATTTACGGCGTATGATCGTGAGATTTACAAATTTTTGCTCGAAGGACCGTTATGAATTCTAAAATTTCAATTCGGTTCTGATATTACGTGTATGAGGTTAAAGACCGGAGTGGGTTCATAAATGAAAAACATTAAAATCCCCTTAGCAATGCTGCCAAATGTTCAATCACGCCCCCTTTATTTAACTTAGCATGTAAGCTTTTAAAGTCTATTAAAAATTGATTTCGTGGTACAAGGACCGGTATGTGTCTGATGTTGTGCTGCAGACAGATATGAAACATTAAAAATGCGAAATAATGCAATTTCGGTCGGGGGATTAGCATAATCAGCTACCGAGGCGAAGTTTGGGCAGGCACCCATCTGCAAACAACACATGTTTACATGATACATGAATATAAGCATAAAAATATCTCCTTACTGATTTAGATTAATATTAACATCTCTAACAAGTAAAGTCACGGCGTGCTACCTGCCCGTCCAGGCGGCGTGTAAATCGCAAACAAAAGTATTCGGTATCTATTAACCAAACAAATTAAATTATAAGTTATTCCGAAGGCGATCATAATTTCTTATGATATATGTCCGCAATTCAAAAGCACCATGGCACACACGGTAGGCGAATACAAAAGGTTGAAGTTTGATCTTGCAAAGGGCAACTGTACTGTACCGTAAGCCATTTGTCATCCCGGAATGAAAATCGCGCAAATAAATCTGTCCCATAACTTTCAAGACGCCAAAACAACACGACACTTACAAAAAACTTTGTAAGTTATTGCTTATTATAACCGCAACGCACTTGCACTTATATGCATATATGAAGGTGCAAACCGCAAGAGATCGGTTTCAAATGTGTTACTACAAATCGAGAATGGATCTCGCGAACTGGTCAAACTTTGCTTACAAATCACCATTTAATATTAATCTTGTCATCATATGGAAACTATTATGTGATTAACTTGCCCTTTAATAAAGCAGCGCCACGTCTTTTGCACATGTAGTTTGGGTTCAGAAAACAAACAAAAAATTAGTGCCAATAGCTAATCCCTGGTGATACATGGTGAGGTTTAAGACTCTCCCAACGACCCAAAATCACTTTGTATTTTTTATCTTAAAAGTTTTTAAAATAGGTATATAGGTGATTAATGGACGACCCCAAAGTAGCCGCTTTTTATGAGAACTTATGTTTCTGTCAAAGATAAAGAAATTACTATCCATGTAGACCTACTCCAGTGCTCAAATTTTATGACACCGATTTCCTTGGAAACCAATAACTTTTTTTTGTTGGTAATAATAAACTTCTAAACTGATGAGAGGTGTGCGCCTTATTAAAGCTCCCAATATTTTTAAAAACTAAAAAAAGCCGGGAACCCGATAAAAAACCTACGAATCAACCTATGAAAAAAACAAATTCCATCAGATTATTTTACCCCAAAAACCGCTTTGGGGAAGTTTCGTTGGCAAGTAAATTATGGATCATAAAAAACGCAGAATGGCCAAAGGGTGTATTTTTTTACGAAGGATCTACGATAACAACTTGAAGTTATTGAGCTTGTCTGGTGCTAGAAAGAGATTTAGTCCGGGAAATAGAGACTGAAAATGGACTATTTCCTGCAAAACGAGAACTAGTATCTGGTGGTTAAGAATCCAAGTTTTCGACCTCCCACTCCTTGTGCTTCCCCGTACCACCCTTAAAACTAAAGAAATTTGGTTGGTTTTTTAGTTTTTCAATCATATCTTTTTAAGGTTCACTTTACAAAAAAATATTGTTATCAGAAATTGTAGACTATAAAATTGTACACAGAGGATTAGAAAATATATGTAATAAGCGAGGAGGGGTGAACCACTGGTGAAGTATGGTGTACAAGTATGATGAAGTCCGTGAAGTTCATATGAAGTTTTGGTGAAGTCCATGAAATATT